TAAATAAGAAAGACACCAAATATGAGTGGCGTGCAAGGTTTTTATAAAAATACACTTAGGTCCTTCATCTTTAAAAATAATATAATTTATACAATTTAGATCCCTTTAAATTTAAAAGAAATTAATTTTGATAAAAAAAATTTATTTGTATTATTTTTCAATTACTGGTTAAAGAGATGTCATTTAATTCCGATAATGAGAAAAAAATATCACTGTTTACACAAATTTCAACTATTAAAATAATTTTTCTTGGTTTTCACGAGTTTTATGTGATGAGAAAAGTTTAATGGTGATGTTTTAGAGATTCAATAATGCCTAAAAAAATAGATTTAAGCTGAGAAAAATAAATCCAATCTTATTTGATTTCAGGTTTTTGATTTTTTTTTGTTGGAATTTATGGATTGTTTTATAGTAATTTTAAGGATATTAGTGAGGTTTTCTTGGTTTGAAACAACTTAAAAGTTGGGTTTTTATGACAAAAAGAAACGACACCATGATTTTTTGGTCACTATAATGGTGATTGGAATCTGGGCTCACGGACAACATGTCATCTGTTTTTTTTTCTTAGTTATTGTTAATGATTTTTTTGTGTATTTATATAAGATTCTCAATTTATTTAATTAAATGTTTGGTTAAGCTTTTTAATTTATATTCATGATTTTTTTATATAAAAAATTCTTTTAAAGACCTGAATATCTTTTTTTTTTATTAGAAGAAAAAATATTGGACTTATAAGAAAAGACAATCAAATAGCTAGTTTCATTACCATACAGAGAGGATAAAAAAAAAGAGTTGTATATGATAGGAGAAGTTTGATGGTGATGTTTAATAATGCATGAAAAAACATATTTAAGTTTAAGAAAAATAAATCTAACCTAGTTTGATTTTAAATTTTTGGATATTTTTTCAGGTTTTTTGGATTGATGAATTGATTTGTAGTTGTTTCAAGGTTGTTAGTGAGATTTTCTTGGTTCGAAATGACATAAAAATGGAGTTTTAGGGCAAAAGAAAAACTTCCTTGATTTTCTGGTCGTTACAGTGATGCCTGGAATCTAGGCTCACAAATAACACATCATTTGCTCTATTTTTTTATTTTATTTTTAATTATTGTTAATTATTATTTTATATATTTACACATGATTCTCAACTTATTTAAGTAGATTTGTGATTAACCTTTTTAATTCATATTTATGATTTTTTTATATAAAAATAGTTTTAAAAGCTTGTATATCTTTTTATTATTATTAGAAGAAGAAACAATATCCTGTCATAAAGAAAGACAATCAAATAGCTAGTTTCATTGCTATATATTGAGGATAAATAAAAAAAATTAATTTTTGCATTGAACTTGTCTTTCAAGCAATATTAGAGGTTATTTGGTATTGTGATTATGATTGTTTTTTAAAGTGCATTTTGCTTGAAAAATATATTGAAATAATGTTTTTTTTTAAAAAATTATTTTTGATATTAACACGTTAAAACGATCTAAAATATTTAAAAAAAAACATTTTTGAAATGAAAAACAAATAAAATATCAGAACAATAACTGTTTGTTCTTGGTTGCAGTTTCTATAAGTATAACAAGTGGCAGAACTACATACTGTCGTAAGAACATGATTGGTAGGACAAACTGGCAAGAACTTAGCCATAGTTTCGAGCTATTATTTTGTTATCAATTTTGTTATACTATTGTTATTGAAAGGGGAAGCTAAAGAAAAACATTATTGATACGGTTCAGCCTTGTGATACAATCAAAATAAGGTCAGATTTGGATTTTGATGTAAAATTTTCTATTGTTCAGTTTTATGCTATTAAACATAACTCTAAATTTAACCATTGGATCGAGCTGCAACTTTACCAGCAGATTTCAAAGATATTTTACACTATATGGATTCATGAGGTTTGCATCAATCTTTATGTCTGCAACATCTAAACAAAAAAAAAGAGATTATGATTCATCTTGTTATTGTCTCTAATCATATCAATAACACATATATATATATATAGAGAGAGAGAGAGAGAGAGAGAGAGAGAGAGAGAGAGAGAGAGAGAGAGAGAGAGAGAGAGAGAGAGAGAGAGAGAGAGAGAGAGAGAGATTAGATGAAATTGAAGGATGATTTAATTTTGCTATAGAAACACAACTCTTAGTGAACCATAAGCAAACCATTTTAGAATTAATTGAAATTTCATATTTTGTCTATTGGGGGTGAGATTGTATCATTTATCAAATTTGAGCTTATTCTGATATCGTTTGCTTGAGATTTTAATTCGAGGTTCAATTTTGCAACAAAAACACAACTCTTAGTGAATGATTAGTACTTAAAAGTGTATTTTTATCAAGGTTTTATATCATTATTTTGCACTTGAAATATCAATAACTCCTTAACTAAAGCATGTTTTATAATAATAAGTCCGATACCATAAGATAACTTTAATTTATAGTAAATATTCATCATAAATGCAGGCTTATCATATAAATGAAAGGATTGATTGATGAGTAGAAGTACTAAAATTGAAAGGACAAAAAGAGGGTGAAGCTTAGAAAAGATATGCTGGTTTAGTCCAAACTGGAACATTGTTCGATAATTGGATTATAACTAAAGCTGTAGAACTTGGATTTAGGTCTGCTTTATATGGATGGAAAGCTAAGACATCGGTCAAAAACCTTCATACAGAAAGCAAGACTCAATTCTGTAGTTTGAAAGTCTAAATCTTAGCAACAACATAGAAGTCCGAATCTGTCATGCAGTTCAAATACTATTCAGTGTTCAGCTTATATCTCGAGTTCTAGAAGTCCAAATGACCTCAATTTTTTTTGAAAAGCTAAGACAATTTTCTAGAACTTTCATGAGAAAGGTTGGTTCAGGTTATAACGTTATCAATGATGTTTTTGGCAAACAAAAAGATAAGGATTGTTACCAAGTCAAGAGTTGGCCACCCACTCATCAATTAGTCATCAAATCAATAGTTCTTAATTTTAGCCTATAAAAGGAGGTATTTATCATGCATTTAGGCATCTTGATTTTCATATCAAGATCATGCTCTTGGTCTCTCTTTATTGTAATGCTTAAGTTTTACTTTCATTAATATCTTGTTTATGTCTTTCATTTCCTTTCTTTCATTTTGTTAATTTTTATCTTATTTATGTTCTTATCTTGTTTATTTATATTTCTGTCTTTCATTATATTTAGCTAAGTTTATTATGTAAAGGCGAAAAGGTTACACTAATAGTGTAAGAATAAGTATAATGTAAACTTAATATGGACTTTAATGTTTGATACTAACATGTTTTGTGTTTGTTATCTTATTCACTCTTAATTCTTTATTTGTTAAATGTTTAATCTAGATTTATGTTGTATAACACTTGTCACAACAAATACTTATCACTTTTATATCCCAATCGTATGGTGTAACCAACACTTGTGCTATGAAAAAAACTTGATTTGTTGTTAACATAAGTTATAATCATACATATCTGATAATATTTACAAGTATTAGCATAATTCGAATAAAATAACTAATGTAATCATGTTAACCATTTATAATCTGATTGGAGCCTCCTTTGTATGTGATTTCTAGTTGACTAATAAGAATTTATACTATACTTGTTTGAAATACTATTAGTGGATCCTCTAATCTTGACATTAGTTTTTATCATGTTTGATCCTCACATTGATCTTCCATCTCAAAGTTCTTATCAACTGATTCTTTATTATACTACTACTACTACTACTACTACTATTATTGTTATTAT